AGATAAAGATAAAGATAAAGATAAAGATAAAGATAAGTAATATGACATACATACATAGACTGATACAGTGTACAAGTTCTACAACGGAAGATATGAGAATGACAGGTCACAATACATGATAAGACAGATGCCACGGGGGTGGCGATCGAAGGACCCGAAGCCGAAAGTCATCAAAGTCGGTTCAAGGATAGAGATAATGTCCAGGACGGTGATTGGATAGGATGATGTTTATTACTGCACTGGACTTGCTCTCTATCATTGAGCCGAAAAGTCTGCCACCCCTCTACTTGTACTACTAGTACTAGTACTATAGCCCGCACAGGCAGCAATCCGCGGGCTATAGTACTAGAGCTACAGAGACCATAGCTAAGACGTGTTTATATGTATCCAGAATTTTAGAAATGTAACTCAATTCGTTCGCGAGATATTAGAGTTTAGTTAGTACACTTTCCTACTGCCTATAGCTACATATCACATGTGGGGGGGTTAACGGCTGTATGCAATGCGCCAGTGTGCTCAATAGGAGCGGTGGCCGTTGGGGGGTTCGGAATCGGCGGCCACCATTTTGACTCGTGGGAAAGTGTACTTGCGCCAACATTTATATAGGCTAACAATGGTGGATCAAGGATAGAGTAGTTTGCCTGTGACACCGCATATGTGTTTTCGCATATATGTGCTCAACTAATGTAATGGTTCAAGGCTTAAGTGGGCCACATTTTTGGTAATTTAGTAATTGTAAGGTAATTAATAACTTTGTTTAAGTTGTAGCAATCAGCAATGTAACTCAATGCAGTGGAGAACGTGCCCTTCTCCACTGGGCAGGTTCAGTATAGCCTACAACCAGTGCTGTTTCAGACATAGCCTGAGTGTAGCCCAGGGGTTGAAATTAGCGGTATCTCGATATCCGCGGGATAGTAGATTCTTGTGTTGGATACCAGATTTCAATGCTTGGTATCCCCCCGGGATAGTAAAAAAAAATCGTCAAAATCGGGACAGTGGTTGATGAGTTATCAACTTTATACGGCAGCTCATCTGAGCGGGCTCAGGCACCCTTACTATGCCACATTAGCGTTATACAGCAGGCATAGCATATTTGCAAGCGCAAGCGTAAGCGTGGCCGATGTTGATCATAAATGTGATGTGTATACATTGTAACAAGCGAACCAGACAATGCGTCTAAACAATACGTCTGCAGTGTACTTGTCTGTGCATATCTGTGAATCTGTTTTCATGTTTTTATATAATAATTACATTACATATATTAATAATTTTCAAATGCTATTATTGCATATTTAAAGAGTTTGGATACCAACATTGTTGAAATTACTATCCAAAAAATGGGATACCAGATCTTTGGGGGGGGATACCAGATTTCAATACCTGGTATCCCGAATGGATACCATAATAAAAATCTAATTTCGACTCCTGGTAGCCCTGCTAACGCTCTGGTATTTGCGCCCTCCCTCCGTCACTCCGCTTTAGGGGCGCACGTGACTTCCGATATTTATACGTGCACATTCTCCTTTTCCTCCAGATGGAGCCACCGAGCAACCAGACGATCTCGGTCGTCACCCCGTCCGTCGAGACGCTGACGCGGCCGCCACCGGCGACACCTGGCGACCTCACCTGCGCTCACTGCGGCAAGGCGTTCACGCGAACCCCAGCGCTCACCATGCACCTCGTGAAGACCCACCACCAGGTGGACGGCGCCGCCGCTAGCGCCCTCTACCACCGCACGAAGGCGGCGGCGCAGTCGACCGCCTACCACTGTCCGGACGCCGCGTGTGATTACCACGAGCATAAGAGCTTCGCCGCGCTAAAGTACCTCAAGCAGCACTACCGGACGACGCACGAGGAGCGCACGCACGCCTGCGCGCGCTGCGGACGCCGCTACGCGACCCGCCACTCGCGCGCGCGACACGAGGCAGCCTGCGGGGCGACGCGCGCGTGCCCGGCGTGCGGCGCCCCCTACGCGTCCGCCGACTCCCTCTACCGGCACTGCGTCACGAGCGACCACGCGCTCCCTCCGGATCTACGGTGCAGGTTAGAGAAGGCGAGGGTCACGGGTGGCGCGGGGGCGCCACTGTCGGCTCTTCGACGCAAGGTCGAGCCGCAGCGTCCAGCAGTCGCCCGGGCCACTCCTGTGGCACGGGAGTGCATCGTCGCCGCGGGGTCGAGGGGTTGCAGAAAGGTCGCAGGGTCGGCAGGTTGCAGAGGGGTCGCAAGGCCACTGCGTCCGAAGCCTACGCTTGTGCCGATCAACTGCACGATCGTCATCTCGAATGACTGCCAGCGCTGCTCAACGCGCGATGCCACCAGGGGGCGCCTCGCCGTCCTGTCTGGCGATGCCGGTAGCTCGACCCCGCCCGCTGGCGCCACGCGAGGTCGGGGTCGCCGACGCCGCCGCCAGGAGGCGCCGCCGGAGGTGTCGACGAACACGACGCAGACGCTCGAGGCGCTGCCGACGGTCGCCGGCGCCCTCTACGGGGCGTGCGACGGCGGCGACGGCGACTACGTGCCGTTTCTCGACCCGGCGCAGCTGCTGCACATCCACACGCAGACGGACGGTGGCGCCCCCGCGAGGCCCATGTCGTGTGGGACCCAGGCGGGGGACGATCGCGGCGGCGGCGGCGGCGGCGGCGGGATGTCTTACCTGCAGATGCTGACGAACATGGAGACGCAGACGAGCGAGGAGCTGTGGCGGGAGCTCGGTCTCGTCGACATACAGACGCAGACGCCGTTCGTCGTTGCCGTCGCCGCCGACGACGCCGCCGCCAGGCAGACGACCGAGGACATCCAGACCCAGACTCCTCCGCCGCCGCCGCCGCCGCTGTGGCGGAAGGACAGCCGAGAGAGCATCTGCACAGAGACGCAGACGATCTTCGACCGTCTCCGCGGCGACGACGACGACGACGACGATGCCGCGGCGACGGGCGCGCGGCTGTTCTGCGTCGAGACGCAGACGCCGCTGATCGACCTCGCGCGTCTTTCGCGTGAGATCCTCGAGGAGGAGGAGGAGGAGGAGGAGGAGGACAGGCTTGGCGCTACGCCGCTCCACCCTGGCACCCTCCACGCGTTTGCCGACCACGGGACGGCGCTTGCATCCAACGATGTCGCGGAATTCACGTCGGGCGGCTCGCTCTTGGGGCCGGCGGCGATGGGGAAACCGAGCGCGCACGCCTGCTTTCTCCCGACGAACCTCGAGAACGGGCGATCGGACGCCGATTTTTCTGCGGGCGGTCCGGTGGTGCGTGACCGCGTGACCGAGAACAATGGTGGCGGCGGAGGGCGAGAGTCGGCCATGCTGTCGGCCGTTGTAGGGGGCGCCGCGCCGCGGGACGACGTGTTCGCGCGAGCGTTTCCCGCGCAATCGAAGATGTCGCAAACGCTCGTCGCTGGATGCTTTGACGCGGCGCGCGACGAGTGGGGAGTCATCGCAACCCCGCTGTCGGTTCCCATCGGGATACAGACGCCCGACTTTGCGCGGCGCGAGGTGGTGGGGCCCGACTGGGGTATTCGGAACCAGACAGTCCCCGTCGGGATCCAGACCTCGCTGTACGATCTCGCGTCCGTTGAAACGCAGACGAGTTTCCTGAGTCCGCAGAAGCCGCTCGCAAACGTCACAGACACGGAGACGCAGACTTTTCCGTTGCCGGATTTCGAGGATAGCGCGATGGGCCTCACGAACTCGTGCACACAGACGAATTGGCACGGCCTAGGGAGTCTGTTTGACGACTTTGAATTGGCGGATGTTACTTAATTGAAATAATTAAACGGTATTATTGAAAGCTATAGGTAATTTAAATTTAATATATACAAGAGCTAATAAATACCTGAGAGCTAATATCTAAGAGCTGATATATATGTGATATATCTTGGATATATGTATATACCGGTATATATATATATATATATATATGTGTGTGTAATATATATATCATTACTGTTTCTATTTAACTACAGGCTATCTATATTTCTGAGACAGTCTTATCTCTATAAATTGCCTTCGATTATAGTCACTAGATGGCGTCACATGACCGTTAATAATCATTCGTGACTACATTCTAGAACGCATTATTCTCTGCAACAACAATGTATACTGACCGCGACAACAATGAATGAGGGTAATTCATTACATTGTAATTCATTACAATTGGAAGTGATTACAGTTACTTTCGACAATTATTAGCGTAACAATGAACGGAGACGTACAAAGCGGCCCACTCGGAGCGTGAACGTGAATTGTATGATATATAAACATCATCGCGACATGCGACAAATGCTCCGACTCCATTCAGAGAGTTAGAATGTTCACATGCGACATTATTATTGAGAGATAAGTATCGATTATTGACCGGAGAAATAGGTTGATTGACATGGATTGGTCCACTATTTGCATCACGGTTTAAATTTGGAGGATTATCAACTTGATAGCATTCTACTGCATACGCGCGTTGAAATAGTCGTGTAAAGAGCACAGGCACCTATATCTAACACGATCCCACACTTGTGACAGCAAATACTTCCCTAGCAGTAACATATGCGATGATGAAATTAAAGTTTGTCAACATCTGGAAATGTCCATTGGCTTGCTTAACTGAATCTGCATTCAAGTGTCCACCTTGATTGTCTTTCATTTTTTCCAACGTTAGGACAACAGAGAGATAGAGATCAGAGAAGATTTCTATCACTGCCAGTCTTTGCATCCAACGTGTCTTGCATACATCAAGGAGTTTGGTTTTGTTCTCACCTTGACAGACTTCATGAATTGTTGCAGTTAGGAGCTCTTGTCTCTTCGGAGAATTGGAAAACATTCTGAGATCTCCTAGGTCATCTAGCATGTTTCTGATGTTCTGAATTGAACATAAAGCCATCAAACAAAGATTCAATTTGTGGGACGCACGGTGAATATAAACTGCTTTCGGAAAAAAATCTTTCTGGTTCAGGGCAGCTGCTCCCTTGTTCTTGCCAGCCACATTACCTGCCCCATCATAACATTGTCCACGGCAATCAGACATGTCAATACCAAGATCACTTACAGTTTTCTTGATATTATTGGCAATGTTCTCACCAGTTTTACCATCAGCACAGTGAACAAATCGAAGGAAATCCTCCTGTATCACTCCATCTACATTGACATACCGTATTATCAAAGCCATCTGTTCTTTATTGCTAGCATCTTGCGCCTCATCTGCCAGCACTGGAAAAACCGGCTTTATTTGATGTTGGCAATGATTTTTTCTGACAGATGATCACTTATACAGTTAATGATTTCGTTCTGTATTGTCTTCGAACGGTAGGTTGCGTTTTTTGGACATTCCTAAAAGTGCTTTGTCGGTACAGCATCACCTGATTTACAACGAAATTCCAATAATTTCTGAAAATTACCACAGTTAAATTCCTGGGAATAATTACTGGAGTCATCTCTATGACCTCTGAAAGATATATTTTTGCTTCCCGCAGAATATTGCACATTCTATGATGGAGGCTAATATAGCCTTGTTTTCGATACGGCTTTTTTTGGCAGCATCCAACTAAATGTCAACGGCAACAGTCTTGTTTTCCATGTGTTTCATGAACATAATTTTACCTATAACAGCATTTTTATGAAACACAGACTTACTTTCATGTTCGATGAATTTGTTTCCAGCTACATTCCAGTTCTTCAATGGTTCGGAAAGTAATCTTTCAAGATTCTTACCAGATTTTTGCTGATCGTGTGTACCGAAAAAGATGCAAGGTCTACAGTAGGCACCATCTTCATCTTTTGAGTATGCCAACCACTTATATGTGTCTAGCCATTTATGTTGGAAAGACCTCTGATAATTGAACATAGATGACTTTGGGAATAGATAATTCGCTGGTGGTTTCCATATAGACTTAATGGCGTCGTACAACTGGACTTCATGCATACTGGTGCGTTTAACATATGATGATATGTCAGCGTTCCTAGAAAACAAATATGGTACCATCAAAACTAGAATCTAGAATATATCTCTTCGTTTCAAAATGGTAATGTCTATAAAAATATTAGCACAAATTTAGTAGAAACAAATCCATAAAAATATGCTATCTAAGCTGTAGAAAACAAAACATTTTTTATTAGATACATTATACATAGCTTTATAGACCGAAGGTTCGATAGACCGAAGGTTATGTGTTCAAGGTGTAAAGATGCATTTTCAAATACGCAGTGGCTACGCGTCCGGAACCGGTCGCCTAGCCTCCAGGCTACGCATCCGGACATCCACTCACACAGTAAACACGCATGATTGCGCAACGGGATAATCTCTCTCTCTCTCTCTCTCTCTCTCTCTCTCTCTCTCTCTCACTCACTCTCTCTCTCTCTAGCTAATATCTAAGAGCTGATATATATGTGATATATCTTGGATATATGTATATACCGGTATATATATATATATATATATATGTGTGTGTAATACTTATTTTATTGACAACGGCAAGTCGATGTCACACACGTTTTTTTGTGATAGCGTCATAATGATTATGTGTAACTTCTGTCATGTTATGGTTAATATATTATAAAAATTCATTTCTGTTGATATAAAATTCTTCAACGTTTGTCTAGAGGTTGTAAAAGTAGATGAAAGAGAACAAAGTAGGAGTGCCTTCCCCCCTCTTTCTCTTCCTTTCTCCCTCTCTCTCACGCTCGGTGTGCGTGTGTGTGTGAGCGTGCACGTCTCTCAACCCCTCTATCTATCTATCTCGATCTCTCTATATATATATCAGAAGTATATAGATATATAGGGATTCCCTATTATCTACTTCTGATTTATATATATATATATATATATATACCCGTGTCAGATTTTCAGACTATTCTCATTTATTCATCTCTGTTAATAATTCTCCCATTCCCACGTTTAACTCTTTCTTCACGCCCCCCCCCCGTACACCTAAGTGACCTATGACCTCAGCCCATTAGTTCAGTAACTGTGATTCGAATCATAAATCAATCGGCTGGAAAAGTATAATAAATTCCCATCAGAAGCGCCTATTTTTCCAGCATCAAAATAGGGGAATTTACAGGAAACCTATAACGCACATCTGGGAAAGGTTCCTATAATGTCTATAATATTTTGGCTGTTATTATTGAGCTTGTTCTTCGTGACCTATTTCGTACATTTAGGCCATTGCGCAAGTGCGTGATACACGCCGGTGTATGTGAGGGCCGCCATATTGGATGTTGAATCAAATTTTGTGAAACATCATGTCTACAGAACAATCTGTGACAGAGGTAAATTTACAGTTGTTGTTAGAGTTTTAAGTGTCCCGAGATACACTGATGATGCTGTTCGTTTCATACACAAATAAATTGACAGCTTGTTGTCTTTGTGTAATGAATGCTGAATCCCATGTAAACAGCTGGAAATTTTCAATGAGAAGGTGTGAAATCGAAACCGCGAACGTTTACATTTTTTAATTTTTGACACCAAGTGCTAAGCCTCTAAAGTCTAAAGCAACCCAATCATGTTACGAATGGCAACATTGTACTTGGTAGGCGGCCCTGTAGACTGTAAACTAGTCAAGTGGTAACTTCACTATTTATTTGAGCTCGAATGTAGTGGGTGACACACACTTTGAATAGATAATATTATGTCAAATGACAATGAGCTAAAGTAACGTCATTTGCACTCTCCGTCTTCGATATAGTCCCGTAGACTTTGAAGACTTATTTATGACCACGAGGTTATGTGATGTTAGTTGATCCATTTATATTTCCAGCTAGCTAACCCTTGAAGTATATACTGGCAAAGTAGAAATGTAACAAATCAGTATTGTAGACGATAATGTCATCATATCGTTGCTTGTTATAATCGTTCTCATGACCTTCACTTCAGACGAAAGCTGGGGCAGCAGAGTCTACTGAGACCAAAGCTGTAGTCAGCACGAAAGAGGTGGAAATCTCCCCAGAACTCTTAATCAAACATCCACTGCAGAATTCTTGGACGCTCTGGTTCTATAAAAATGACAAACAGAAGCAATGGGAGGAAAATCAGAGAGAAATATCGACCTTTGACACAGTTGAGGATTTCTGGGCGTACGTATCGTAAAATCGCAATTCACATTATTATTTCATTATTTTGCATTTCGTTGCATGCAGGAATTAACGAAAACTTGTGAAATAAACATGGGTGATGAATTTTTTACGTGACAAACTCTCAATAGTCACAACACGATGAATTTCCAACACAAATATTAATATTACTCGTCAATATTAATCTTGCGTATGCAATTTATGGTAAGATTTGTCGCGGTAGTAAGTCGTCTTTGAAGAATGCGTGCGTATACCTGGCATGGACTGAACTGTGCTGATGCGTTGTGCGTTTCTCATCACACAGGCTGTACAACCACATAGAAGCTGCAAGTAGACTACAGTCAGGATGCGATTACTCCCTGTTCAAAGTAAGTCTGAAGCGTGTATAGTTCAGCAAGTTCTGCTATTGCCCTTGTCAGTACTTGGTAATACCTGATGGGAGGATGGTGATGGGGGTATATTGGAAATGTGTGAGGCGTGAAATACCCTTATATATAATTTTACCATTAGCAGGAAAAACTTTACTTTTTTTGTCAGTGCGTCAGAATCTCTAGAGATGGTAATTCTAATGTTTTTAATGTGAGGCAGGTGTTATACCTTGGGTTTAATCAGTTAGGTTGCGTAAGGTGAAGGGTCAGCAAGGCACCCTCCTCTCCCTTTTCGCCCGATTCTCCTGTCCACCAGCCCTCTTGCATAGTGGCGTAACACAGTGAAAGGCCCTAATTCTTTCTGCGTGATCTCTGCTCAGGCCGGAATCAAACCGATGTGGGAGGACACGAAAAACAAGAGCGGTGGCCGATGGCTGATCAACCTCACTAGACAGCAACACACACACACACACACACACACACACACACACACGGCAATCAGCAGAGCGTCCCGTTGCGCAACCATGCGTGTGTGTCTATCGGTCTATCCATAAGACTTTCAAATCTTCGGTCTATCGGACCTTCGGTCTATAGGGATGACCCCGATATGCCTGGCATCTTGATAACAGCAAAGCATGCAGACCATCAGTAAGAAGGGCAAATTATGATATAGAGAGGGCACTTAATTTCCTAACTTGGACTGCCAAGGGCACCCTGGATCCGTCCAACGCCTATCACGAGGGGACTTTTGCAGGACAGTGTTGAAAATATGCCTTTTTTCCTGATCGTTCCCAGTATAGAAATAGAAATTTGGATAGCTGAGAAGTGCCCTTCATTTTGTCAACTTTTCAATAAAGACCAAAAAATGCACATGATTTGGTGAGAATGTGCCCCTCAGAACTGCCTATTACTAACACTTAGGATCTAATTTTTAGTAGACAATGCACAAAAATTTCTTATATATATCGTTAATTTACTCCTTGGATTATTCACTATTTAAAATGTTATCGTGTCTTGTGTCGTGAGGATTGCACACAGACTACTCGTGAGTGAAAATGTACGGACTGAAAATGTGCCTATCTGAAGAAATCAACGATCTTAGAACACTTTGTCGCAGCCTCTAGTATTCCTTCTTGCTTTTTGCGCTTGATGCGCGCTTGGGACGGCATCTTTAGACTGCGTTTTCAGAGATTTTTCGTAGACAATTTTTACCTCACTCAGCCACTGGCAGCAAGAACAAGTCCGCACCTGCAGCTACAGTACACACGCATCTATTGACTATATATAACAACAGATTATTATTACAGATTATATAACAGGTTGTTATATATAGTCAATAGATGCGTGTGTACTGTAGCTGCAGGTGCGGACTTGTTCTTGCTGCCAGTGCACTCAGCTAGCGAGGGGGCCGCCATGTTGTGTAACGCTAAACAGCCGGGACCTCGGACTATGTACTTTGTAGGTGCGCCACTGATCTCTATTACATCATAGATATATACAACACATTACATGTGTTGTATATATTAATGAGTACATCTAGGCCATTGTCGCATTGCGCAAGTGGCCGAAGTGCGTGATTCACGCCGGTGCATGTGAGGGCCGCCATATTGGATGGTGAATCAAATTTTGTGAAACAGCATGTCTAGGCCTACAGAACAATCTGTGACAGAGGTAAATTTACGGTTGTTGTTAGAGTTTTAAGTGTCCCGAGATACACTGATGATGCTGTTCGTTTCATACACAAATAAATTGACAGCTTGTTGTCTTCGTGTAATGAATGCTCAATCCCATGTAAAAACAGGTGGACATTTTCAATGAGAAAGTCACGGTGTAAAATCGAAACCGCGAAAGTTTACATTTGTAAATTTTTGACACTAAGTGCTAAACCTGTAAAGCTATACAGTATACTGTTTCGCTAGTATGGTTTCAATATGTTGTTGTTGGAAATACGTACAAGTCAACCTTGCCCCAATATATTTTCTATAGTTCATGTAGAAGTAAACCTTTCACTGTAGTGTAGCTACATTACACCACAGGCCCTTGAAGGCTCAAGTTTTAAGAAGAGTATAAGACTATATTAAGAATAAGAGCGAAGCGATTACGTGGTATACCGGACCGTACCCAGGGAGACATAGACCCTATAAGCATTATTTATGCATGCCCATGATGTTATGTGATGTTAGTTGATCCATTTATATTTCCAGCTAGCTAACCCTTGAAGTATATACTGGCAAAGTATAAATGTAACAAATCAGTATTGTAGACAATAATGTCATTATATGATTGCTTGTTATAATCGTTCTCATGACTTTCACTTCAGACGAAAGCTGGGGCAGCAGAGTCTACTGAGACCAAAGCTGTAGTCAGCACGAAAGAGGTGGAAATCTCCCCAGAACTCTTAATCAAACATCCACTGCAGAATTCTTGGACGCTCTGGTTCTATAAAAATGACCAAGACAAGCAATGGGAGGAAAATCAGAGAGAAATATCGACATTTGACACAGTTGAGGATTTCTGGGCGTACGTATCGTAAAATCGCAATTTACATCATTATTTCATTATTTTGCATTTTGTTGCATGCAGGAATTAACGAAAACCCGTGAAATAAACATGGGCGATGAATTTTTGACATGACAAACTCTCAATAGTCACAACACAATTAATTTCCAACACAAATATTAATATTACTCATCAATATTAATCTTGCGTATGCAATTTATGGTAAGATTTGTCGCGGCAGTAAGTCGTCTTTGAAGAATGATGCGTATACCTGGCATGGACTGAACTGTGCTGATGCGTTGTGCGTTTCTCATCACACAGGCTGTACAACCACATAGAGGCCGCAAGTAGACTACAGTCAGGATGCGATTACTCCCTGTTCAAAGTAAGTCCGAAGCGTGTATAGTTCAGCAAGTTCTGCTATTGCCCTTGGTCAGTACTTGGTAATACCTGATAGGAGGATGGTGATGGGGGTATATTGGGAATGTGTGAGGCGTGAAATACCCGTATATATAATTTTACCATTAGCAGGAAAAACTTTTTTTGTCAGTGCGTCAGAATCTCTAGAGATGCTAATTCTAATGTTTTTAAGGCGAGGCAGGTGTTACCTTGGGTTTAATCAGTTAGGTTGCGTAAGGTGAAGGGTGGCCCTTCTCTCTTCAGCAAGGCACCCCTCTCTCTGTTTTCGCCCGATTCCCCTGTCCACCAGCCTTCTTGCATAGTGGCGTGGCACAGTGAAAGGCTCTAATTCTTTCTGCGTCATCTCTGCTCAGACTGGAATCAAACCGATGTGGGAGGACACGAAAAACAAGAGCGGTGGCCGATGGACGATCAACCTCAATCGACTGCAGTGCATTAACGACCTGGATAGTTACTGGTTAGAGACGGTAAGCGTGCGCGCGGCGTCACGCGTGTAAGCGCTACAGATCGTGGCGAGGGCAAGATGAGTGGTAGTAGAAGCAGCGGGGGGGGGGGGGTTACCCGTCGATTCACGTTCTTTGCCGTCGCGTAATTTTAAAAAAACCTGCATTCTCGGGCAACCGAATCGAGATGCTTTTTTATTTTTTTCCAAACTGCGAGCGTTAAAATATATTTCCCGTGTGCGTTACCCTGGCAGCATTTCTGCTGTTGGTAGCCAAAAATCTTTTCCCTGTGTTATGCTTTTGTAGAAGTACATACGTAGAACATGCAAGTAATTATCCAATAAACGCATATATGTCCTAAACTGAGTTTGCCAAAACGAGTCGCAGGTTTGCGCGATCGCACGTCAATCGTTATCGAATTTCCACGAGAATTCTCCATCGATCGGCGCAAGATGATCTTTCGCGATCGTTTCGAGCACGACGTCCCGCGAATCGTCGCAACACCTGACCTCGAGTCGTCCGCGACCTCTGACCCCTCCCTGATGCTCGCGTTCGTCTGCTCTCACAGTTGCTGTGCCTCGTGGGAGAGGCGTTCGACGAGCAAAGCGACGACATCTGCGGCACAGTCGTGCAGATCCGCACGAAGGGCGACAAACTCGCCGTCTGGACGGGAGACCTCCGCAACAATGACGGCATCCTAAAAATCGGGTGAGCGTGCGCGCGTGAGATTGTGTGCTCCGCGAGCGGGGTTCGTGCGCGCTTGCCACAGTCGTCACTAGTTTCGAGCTGTTTCTGTATTTCTATATTATCTTCTTTTTTTATATATATATATTCTATTCTATTATACATATTATCTTATTTCTCAATATCAATTCTCAATTATATTATATTGATAATATCGTATATCATAGTCATAATTTTATGCAACTTCAGACTACAATCGCAATAGTCATTGTTCTTAGATCGTCAATATATCTTGTGCAACGTTGGAGCGAGACGCGATCGGTCGAACCCTCGGCCGTTTCGTCGGACCCCCCGCATTCGCGTCTTTGTTCCGGCGCTTTAATTCTGAGCGCGTGCTTTCTGTTCTTACTTGCAGCATGAAATACAAGGAGCGATTGGGTCTGCCAAACAAGGTGTGCGTGATGGGCTACCAGGCGCACGCCGACTCGATGGTGATATGCGGATCTATGCCGGCGCAGAACCGGTTCACTGTATAACGGTTGCCACCGCTCTAGCTTTCTACAGACACTAATCAACGTTTACCATCTTTTCGCCACCCCCGCGTTTAAATTTCTGGTCGGTCGCCGGCGGCGCCGCGGGGTCTTCTCTCTGTCGTGTGGGTTTTCCGTCTTCAGTCATCGTGAGCAACAGTGTAACAGTGGCGAGCGGCGGCTGCGGCGTCGGAAACAAAGTTACTCTCAACGTCGTCCTCACGGTTGACCTCTTCCTCGTAGACCTCTTCCTCGTAGACCTCTATGCCCCGTATACTGCGTACGAGAAACACACTGTACTGCGTCGCTGTCGACAGTCTACGAGAAAAGTTTTTTTTTTATAATTTAGAGGTTTAATGATAAGATAAACGTTAAGACTAATTCTGCGTCCGACGACAGGGCTGCCGGATTTTGGGGGTGGACGGTTGCCCGTCCGGGTGGCGGGTTGACTCTCACGAGCGTACGTTGCCGAGAGGTTTCCTGTCGGTTTCGGACGTTAATGACCTCACCAGGTGGCAGCATGTGTTTTCGTCGCAAAAAATCTCGCCTCTCGATTCGGCGTTCTGTTCCCCTCGCTTCCTTCCTCACTCCCCCGCCTTCCTTCACCTCACACTCTCCTTTCTCTAACATTTTCGGCAGGTGTGCTTGCCACGGCAGCGTTCGTTGGTGTGTGCCACAGATTCCGCGAAAATTGCGGCTCTCGGGACGAAATCGCGCGACGCTGTCTCGGAAATAAGCGAGCGTTCGTGCTTCCTACGCGCGCGCGTTTGCCCCCGGTACTGCAGCATGTGCATGTGGCTGTCTCTCGTCCCGCTACTACGTTGGATGGTTTCTTTCTGTTATTCGCGCGTTAAAGCGGATAAACCTCGCAGCTAGATGCATATATATACCTACTGTAAGCTCGTCTGTGTTGCAAAAATTCACTACAACTCATTTGTATTGCTACTTTCATAACATTTCTTCTCAAAATCTAAACGAAATTACTTCTCTTACGAAAGTAGCACCACAGTGATGTTTACACGTCCGGGACACAGCGGAGCGATCGGCTCGATTCATTAACTGTTCCTTTCTATGATAAAACAAGTTAGGCCTACTGCTAGCGGGCCGACATGGTTCAAGAATAGAGAACATGGGTTCCATTGAGACCTATGTCATTTTCGTAAATGTGGAGGTAGCCCCTTTAAAATCGAGAGGGGTGCTGTTGAGGGTGTTCTTTGTTCATATCGACCGATAAACATTATGTGAGTTAACAGGAAGTGTCGAAAAAAATGCTGTTTCGTTCTTAAAACGTGTCGGCGCGTAAAGTCCGGAGAGGGAAGAACTTTGCATCGTCGTAGTCGGCGTCTTAACACGCTCCGGTTAAGTTACGAGTTACGAAGAGTGTGGGTTTGAGAAGAGTGTAGCCCAGACGTTTCGTCTGGCAGTGCGCCGCCGCGCAGAGCGGGCGCGTTTTTTTTAGCTCCGTTTGACAATTAACGACATTGATTTTCGTTGTTTTTTTTATTTATTGTCAGTACGTGTGTGCGCGGCGCGCGCGCGTTCTGCGATAGTCGTGACCGGTGACGCGGCATCAAGCTTTGACGAGCGACGCTTGTTTTGGCGCTCCCCGCCGCCCCCGCCGCGTATCTCTTGAGTGAAGCTTCAGCCTGAGTCGAGATCACCTGACCGATGTTACATTCACGAGCGGCGCCCCCTGTATAAATACATATGTGCAGTAATGTGATCTAGGCATCATATAGCAGACAGCCGCGGCTCCGTGCATGCCCCGTGGGACAGTACCGCAATGTGGCAGCACTAGTGTTATGATTAGGGTTAGGATCAGGGTTAGGGTTACGGTTAGGGTTAGGGCTAGGATTAGGGTTAGGGTTAGGGTTAGGGTTAGGGGTATAAGGCCATGTCTAGTACGGAGGTATGACTGTGGAATCTTTCTGTGGAAGATTTGGACTTTGAAGTATACGTCAACTGTATCACGTGACTGTCTCTCCACGCCCGGGGGATAGCAACACCCATGCACCGTATCTATATACATGCACCGTACCTAGATGACATCATCAACTTCACGTTCGTGATTTATCTCTAACTGTTAAACGTCTGTATTCTTATTTCCGTAATCATTCCCTTTGAGATCTTCGTCATGCACAATGTTATTAGTTGGATTATTATTATTATTATTTTATCAGTTGCATTGGATTAAGGGTTTCAGTGAGAATTAATGATTGATTAACGAAATGTGTTTCTATGCTTTGGCTGTTCGTTTTGGATTTGGCTTTTAAAAAAATTTTGGTTTTGGTTTTTGCTTTCCAAATTATTTTGGTTTGTTTTAATGTTTTTAGCGATTTTTCTTTCGGGTTTTCAAATTTCGGGTCATATCGTACCTAGACGCTGTTACTACCTAAGCGATGGCAGTCTGATATCGCTACAGCGAACCAAACGAAAGTGAAAGTGAAAGTGAAATCGGCGATGAGAACTGAAACCGTGTTAAGCAATTGTGACATGAGTAAGGCCATTTCATCTTTGCAAATAAACAATCGTACCCTATAGCAACATGCGCAAGCAAATAAAATCTGGAAAAAAACACTAAATGGCGTTTTTCGTTCTTTTCGTCTTACAATGTTAACAAAACAAAACAAACGCGGTCGAATCATACACTTGCTGGCCCTCTCTCAGAAACTAAGAACTCAGAACTCTCAAAAAATTTGTCTTAACATAAGCATTAATTTACAATGTTTCTGACGATAAAATGCATAACTATGGTACGTATTTCTTTTGTTTTTCCCTGAGCTGCTATAGACTGCGCCGCTAACACACGTTAGACTCCATGTACCTGTAGAGAGCAGCGATGTGAAACGACGTTGGGTGAGTCTATGGGACGCGATCCCGCGGTCTTTGCTCTGACATCACTCGACTATCGTCTCCATCGTCCATCGTTGCGCGTCGCCTTATTCCGTGTCGTCATTGCGTTATCGAATTCAGGCCGAACGAAAGCGGGCGCGCGTGTGTGTGTGCGTGCGTGTGTGTGCGTGTGTACTGTGTGCGTGCGTGTGTGCGTGCTGTGTGCGCTGACACTGTATACTGACAAGAATAAATAATAACACAATTGTGTTGTTATCCACTCTTGATACTGACCGCGACAACAATGAATGAGGGTAATTCATTACAATTGGAAGTGATTACAGTCACTAGATGGCGTCACCTGACCGTTAATAATCATTCGTGACTACGTTCTAGAACGCATTATTCTCTGCAACAACAATGTATACTGACCGCGACAACAATGAATGAGGGTAATTCATTACAATTGGAAGTGATTACAGTTACTTTGGACAATTATTAGCGTAACAATGAACGGAGACGTACAAAGCGGCACACTCGGAGCGTGAACGTGAATTGTATGATATATATTAAAACATCATGGCGACATGCGATAAATGCTCCGACTCCATTCAGAGAGTTAGAATGTTCACATGCGACATTATTATTGAGAGATAAGTATCGATTATTGACCGGAGAAATAGGTTGATTGACATGGATTGGTCCACCGTTTGCATCCCGGTTTAAATTCGGAGGATTATCAACTTGATAGCATTCTACTGCATGCGCGCGTTGAAATAGTCGTGTAAAGAGATCATTAGCATATTCATTATATTGAGATAAAGGTTAAGATAAAGAGCTACACCAACAGTGCAGTTGTTTTACCAGATGCGTTTATTAATGATAAATATTAAATTAGCGATTGAAAATAACATGATAACAAATAAATAAGAAACAATAACAAAATGGCGTCACAAACGTCACAATTGATCGACACGTAGAGGTCAAAGATGGGTCAATGGTCATCATCACCCGTGAACGCAAACCATTCTTTCCGTTTCCGGCATCTCTGCTTCTTCCAGGAACAGGTTTTTATTCTAGCTTTCCACTATAGATGCTTTTTTTCTCCTCATCGCCGCCCCTCTTTTTCCCCATCCGCATATTTGCTCAGACATGATCGCGGTGTAGTGAACTCACAATGATGCAATAAACGACTAGTTTGCAAATAAAAAGTGTCTGTGTGTGTGTGTGGGAGAGAGAGAGAAGAGAGAGAGAGAGAGAGAGAGAGAGAGAGAGAGAGAGAGAGAGAGAGAGAGAGAGAGAGAGAGAGAGAGAGAGAGAGAGAGA